CTGGAGAACGGCATGAGCCAGGAGATGGTACATTTGTCTTTAATGGGAATTAATACAACAAAACCTGGATCAGGCTGGGGCGCTGAGGGAGCTGCAGGGTGTTAGGCACCCCAGCCCCGCAGACAGGAGTGGCCTTCCCTGCACAGGATGCTGAAATTCAATTGCAAACATAAGCAGTAACTTGGTGCCTGGGACTTGCAGGGTATGTTAAAGTCACAGCCTGATGAATGCAGTTCCCGAGGAAGGAGAACCCAGCAGCATGCTCATGGAGACATTTCACCATCTCCAGCGGGTGATGGGGTGTCAGACCCCCCCAGCCCCACCATGACATCCACCATAGATGGTCACAGCAGCCAGGAGGTGGGGAAAGCACCTTACTCCAGGGCACAGCACACCCCGACTCGAGACGAGGCCAGAGCTCAGTGCCTGCTCCTGGGCACCCACTGGCCCAGGAGCCATGAGCCAAGTGGGACAGGGTGTCACACAACCATTGACTTCCCAATTCCTGAAGGCAACCTGAATCAGCATCTTGGGAGATGGAGAAAGGTGACTCTCAGCAATGATTTCAGCTATTTCAGAGTAAAGCCCATTTTGGAGGACTGCTGTCTGTCTGTCTGTTGTCAACAGCTCTTACATGATTGCAGTGTTTTAGTTAAGAGGATAGGAAAATGAGCCCATTTCTCGGTTGGTGATTGTGTCCACGGGACAGAAGGGGACCATGGAGTGACACAAGTCTTGTGGCTGTGCTGGGGTCCCATACTCGCAGCTTGTTGGGAAACTGGGACTCAGTGGGTTTCTGATCCGGTACCTGGATGGGTCCCACCAGCAGACACAGATCGGCACTCCCGGAGCATCCTGCCTCCATGGGTCACATCCTGCTGCTCACGGCTCTGCAGAGCACCGGGGACCTGTACCAAGGCTGGTCAGCTGCTGCCGTGCTCAGAGGCTATCGTGTGACCTGTGGGCACAGGAGAGCAGAGAGGCAGGCGCCTGCTGATAGATACTGTTGAGCTGTTTGCAGCAGTGATATGGACCTGCTCAAGCAAGTCCAGAGGAGACCACGGAGCTGCTGCGAGGGCTGGAGCAGCTCTGCTCTGGAACCAGGCTGAGAGAGCTGGGCTGGGGCAGCTGGAGAAGAGACGGCTCCTCAAGGGGACACCTTAGAGCAGCTCCCGCGCCTCAAAGGG